TGAATTTGGGAATCTCTGAAGAAGAAGATGACAGTGATGATAATGCCGAGTTCTATAGGCGACCGTGACGACCTGTGCTTCCTCCGAGAATTCACACGGAGTTTAAAGCCAAGGTAGATATACCTTATTTTGACGGCCAACGCCTATCCGTCGAAGTTCGCCGTGAGTTTAATCTCAACTGGACAAGGACAGCACCCCAGTTTCCTCGTCGAACTCCAGCTCCGGCTGTAAGTCCGAGAGCTCGACGTGGTATGGACCTTGATCGACATAGGCGACGCATTCCCCCACCGATTGGTGATCTATCTGATTCAGAAGTTGAAGGGCATTGCCAAGAGAGATTAAATTTGGGAATCTCTGAAGAAGAAGATGACAGTGATGATAATGCCGAGTTCTATAGGCGACCGCGACGACCTGTACGTGCTTCCTCCGAGAATTCACACGGAGTTTAAAGCCAAGGTAGATATACCTTATTTTGACGGCCATATGCACATTGAAGACTACCTAGATTGGGAGAGAGCGGTAGATAATTTTTTTGATTATATGGAAGTCGAGCCATCTAAACATGTGAAGTATGTTGCCTGCCGTCTCTGAAGCGGGGCGGGTGCTTGGTGGAATCAAGTGCTTTAAATGAGGCAAAGAGAAGGGAAGGGGCCCATGCGTAATTGGACGCAAATGAAGCAGCTGATGCGATCGCAGTTCTTACCGACCGATTATGAGCAGATTCTGTATATCAAGTATCAACACTGCCTACAAGGAAATCGCTCCGTTAGTGAGTATACATAAGAGTTTCACCGACTCAGTGCAAGGAATAATTTGAATGAATCTATGAATCAACTTGTCGCGCGCTATGTAGGCGGCCTCAAGGAAAGCATCCAGGATAAACTGCAATTGAATTCAATTTGGTCATTAGCCCAGGCCATCAATTTTGCATTACGAGCCGAAACACAGCAGAATTGCTAGTCCAAGTTCTCTTATACGAGACGCTCATTTCAGGAATTTGCTGGTGACCATGTCAAAGGGAGCTCATCGTCTGCCAAAATAGTATCAAATAGTGGCCCTCTTTCGCAGATTAAGCCCGTACCGAAACCTTCAAGAGCCACTCCAGAAACTAAGGCCCTATAGAAATCCAAATCCTCTGCGCCGAATAATCCGTATGCTCGGCCATCCACCCTGAAGTGTTTTCGTTGTTTTCAACCCGGACACAAGTCCAACGAGTGTCCACAGTGGAAATAGTTACAATTGCTGGAGAATGTTGGAGAGGATAATCAATTAAATGTTGAGGAAGATCTCAAAATCGAGGAGTTTGAAGCCGATGAAGGTGAGACTTTAGTCTGTATGATTGAGAAGTTATTATTGGCTCCTCGATTAGCTAACCCTTCGCAGCGCAATGCAATTTTCTGCACTCGCTGCACAATTAATGAAAAAGTATGTGATCTCCTTATAGACAGTGGGTGCACATAAAACATAATCTCGCGATCGGTGGTCCAGGATCTGAAGCTCAAAAAAACGAGTAATCCCCAACCGTATAAGATCAGTTGGGTCAAGAGGGGCATAGAGATACCAGCTACGGAAATGTATCAAGTTACGTTTTTGATCGGGCGACAGTATGTATGTGAGGTGCTTTGCGACATTCTGGAAATGGACGTTTGCCATCTAATTCTGGGTAGACCATGGCAATCCGACGCCGGAGTAAACTATGATGGTAGAGCTAATGTTTATTCCCTTGACTGGAAGGGAAAACGTTTGAAGCTATTACCGGGACCTCGGGATCACAAGGCAACAACCACAAATTCATCCACGGTGATGCATATAGTATCGGGGCCCAAGCTTTTACTAAGTCAAAGTGAGGATGAATCAATGTGGACATTGATAGTCACAGATGGAACTATATCCCAAAAGGAAGAACTCCCAGCTGAGATCGCCACTCTATTGGAAGAATTTAAAGAAATTTGTCCCCAAGAATTACATGCTGCTCTGCCGCCAGTGAGACACATCCAGCACCAAATCGATCTCGTACATAATGCCACACTACCTAATCTAGCTCAATACCGGCTGAACCCCAAAGAACAACAAATATTGCAATCCATCATTGAGGAATTATTAGAAAAGCAGATGATCCAACCCAGCATTAGTCCATGTGCAGTCCCAGCCTTGCTTGTGCCTAAGAAGAATAAGGAGTGGCGTCTTTGTGTGGACAGCCGGACCATAAATAAAATCACGATTAAATATAGGTTTCCCGTCCCTCGGATTGACGAATTGCTGGATAAATTAGTTGGGGCGTCTATATATTCCAAATTGGATCTCCGCAGCGGCTATCACCAGATCCGTATTCGTCCCAGTGACAAATGGAAAACATCATTTAAAACGCCTTTCGGATTGTACGAGTGGCGTGTTATGCCCTTCGGCCTATGCAACGCCCCCTCTACCTTTATGAGATTAATGCAGGATATACTTAAATCAATTTGGGGAAAGTTCTGTATTTCGTATTTTGACGACATTCTAGTCTACAGTGACTCCTTAATACATCACCGGGAACATCTCAAACAGGTGTTTGAAATCTTGCTTAAGCATCAATTATTCCTGAATCTTAGCAAGTGTCAGTTTGCAACTCCTCGGGTACAATTTCTTGGCTTCGTGGTCTCTGCAGACGGCCTCATGATGAATCCGGATAAGGTGACCGCCATTCTTAACTGGCCAATTCCAAAATCTTTTACAGAAATCTGAAGTTTTCATGGACTAGCGAATTTCTATCACAAATTTATCAAGGGCTTTAGTATCATTATGAGTCCGCTCACTGGCTATTTAAAATCAAAATCCTTTCACTGGGGTGAATCTCAACAAAACAGTTTTGATGCTATAAAAACAGCCTTGACATCCGCACCGGTGCTTGCCATTCCAGATTTTGAGAAATTGTTCACTGTCGAAACGGATGCTTCTTGTCATGGCATAGGGGCGGTACTGTCACAGGATGGAAAGCCGGTGGCCTTTTTTCAGTGAGAAACTATGCCCTTCGAGGCAAAAGTGGGCGGCATATGAGCAAGAATTGTATTCGGTGATACGCGCTCTGAAACAATGGGAGTCCTACTTGCTTCATCAGGAATTCATTATCTGCACTGATAATAAGGCACTCCAATTTATTAATAGACAAAAGCATGTCAATCGGATGCACACGCGTTGGGTAACATTTCTACATAAATTTTCTTTCACTTTGAAACATCAGTCCGGCAAAAGTAATATCGTCGTTGACGTCCTCAGCCGGAAAATGGTCCTCATCACTCAGCTACAGACTGATTTTGCTGGTTTGGTGTGTATCAAAGAATTATATGCCACTGACCCTAATTTTGCAGAGATCTGGAAGCAGTGTCCAGCACAAGGAAATATGGCTGGATTCAGCCTTCGGATGGGATATTTATTTAATCATAATTTTTTATGCATCCCTGTCTCATCGTGGAGAAATCACATCATCCAAGAAGCCCATTCGGGCGGGTTAGCAGCACATGCAGGCAGAGAGAAGTCCTTAGCTGCTATGCAATCTCGTTTCTACTGGCCTCGTCTCCGGCGTGATGTATATCGCTTCGTTGATCGATGTTTTATTTGCCAAACGTACAAGGGTGGTTCGCAGAACACCGGCCTCTACCTACCACTACCCGTTCCAGAGTCGATATGGGAAGACCTTAGCTTGGACTTTGTCCTTGGGCTTCCTCGTACGCATCGAGGTAATGATTCGATCATGGTGGTGGTCGATCGATTTTCCAAGATGAGTTATTTTGTATCCTGCAAAAAGACCTCAAATGCGCTCCACATTGCTCATTTATTCTTTCACCAAATTGTACGACTACATGGAGTTCCACGGAGCCTGACATCGGATAGGGATGTCAAATTCATAAGTCATTTTTGGCACGAATTGTGGAAAAGGTTGGGAACCAAGCTGTGCCTCAGTTCAGCCTATCACCCCAAGTCGAACGGACAAATGGAGGTAGTCAACCATACACTGGGAAACATGTTGCGATGCTTAGTCCAAGATCATCCAAAGCGTCGGGAAGACATGCTGAGTTCCGCTGAGTTTGCGTATAACTCCATGATTAATCGATCGACGGCTACTCAGAAATGCTTGAGGAAGTTTGCAAACAAATTATCAAGTCCAACAGTTCCTATAAGGCGGTAGTTGATGTGCACAGGCGACAAAAATTGTTCAAAGTGGGCGATTTGGTCATGGTTCGACTACGCCGTGAGCGATTTCCTCCGGGCACGTACACCAAATTGCATCGTCGCAAGATTGGCCCAGTGTCCGTGGTAGCCAAGATAAATGACAACGCCTACATTGTAGATTTACCCTATGATATACAGACTTCCTCCACCTTCAATATCGCAGACATGTGGCCATACCATTCAGCTGATGACGCACCAATTTTACAGAGCTCTTCTTCTGCCGGGGAAGACTGATGCAGCGCAATACTCCCCATGTGCCCCGGTTACCAGGTTCCTTTTACCGTAGCTTTCTACAAGAATTCGGTTAGGCTTTGAGCCCCACTATCTTAGTACTATTTCTGTTATTACTAGCTTTTTATATACTTTTGCTGAGTAGTATATTCATAGTAATGATAGGTAACCTTACCGTTGGGAGGGGATACAAATACAATCTCTGTATTGGAGAAGGACACTTTTTACATATACAAAAAAATACAGATACTCTTCTGGGAACAATTCTTCCCTGTTATTTTTGCTTTTCTTTGGTTTCAGGTCTAGCCGGAGTCCAGTGCTGCCGCCGATCCAGGGTTGCGTCAGGCGACCTGCAGTCAAGCCCTCACGACCTCAGCGCCTCACCCCTTGCAAGTCGCGACCAGCCGGCCCTCGCCCGTAGTGGCACCTGGTCAAGCCTTGCCCCGCGCTGGTCTCGTCGACTCGCCCACGCCCCTTAGCTTTAATACTCATCAAGGAAAGGACAACTGACTTGTGCAGATAAAGCTTTTAAACAAACGTTTTATGCTTTACTAGATATCCTAACGCGAAGGAGCAATGAACCAACAGCACTAAATCCACAAAATTAACAACAAAAATCAATCTCATAAAAACAACAGTGACACACATGCATACACAACAATAAACTGGAAACTAACCATATGGAAGTTTTCATGGAAGTTCCTCCTCTGATACTTCTCAGGAGCAATCGTGGTGAGGATCTGAACAATTTCTGTCATTGTCGGTCGAGAATCTGGGTCCCATTGGAGACATTCTCTTGCTAAATGAGCCATTATTTGCATCTCTTCCTCAGGGAAGTTTCCTTTTAAAAGAGGGTCAGGTAATTCAGTTACAACCAACTTGCTATCATTCAAGCGAGCTGTTGCCTGCCATTTCAGAAAATTTTGAATTCTAAGCCTTCAGCTCCTTCAAGACTAACACGTGTATAAAATAGTTGTAGACCAAAAACGGCTGATCAAAGTCAAAATACCAACCGGAAATCATAATACTTGTTACAAAGCTCCCATCATTGTTATTTTAGTTGGTAAAATTTCATGGTTAATAACATCAACAAAATATGAACTAAAACAAGAGAACATTCTAACAGAACATTATTTAAAATTTGAAGCTTACTGTAAGTTTTAACGGAACCTTACCCAAATCACAAGACTCTCATCACCCTTAGCTGATTTTTGTATTGGTTGACGCCCTGAGATCAATTCCAAAATAACTACACCATAACTAAAAACATCAGACTTTAGTGAAGCTTTTCCTACAATGGCATATTCAGGTGCAAAATATCCAAATGTTCCCAACATCCTTGCCGGGGAGCTTGAACAGCTCGGGTGATCATCGGACATTAAATACTTGGCCATGCCAAGGTCAGTAATCTGCATAAAAGAATACATTGAATGATGGAATGCTGTAGAATGCAGATCCAGAAAAAAAAGAAATTAGTTTCATAAACATAAGAAAATGCTAGTTCTGCCAGGAAAAAAAAATTCTCTTTCAAAACATAATAAGCAGGTTATATGTTTATAAGATGGCTCAAAAATAAAACCAGGACAAACGGCATTGCATTCTATTTAACCTTGCCCATGCTTAAGAAAAATGCATTCACCTAGTGGGTAGTTCTTTCAACAAAGATAAGATAAGATCATATAGAAAGTAAAACAAATTTTCAAACAAAGATTGAAGTGTACCAAATCACATTTACCGTATACACTTATATTGCATCTTGAATCAACGAGTTCAAACTCACAATCAACAACAACAACATCAAGTCTTTGTCCCACTACGTGGGGTCAGCTACATGAATCTTTTTTCTCCATTGTGTCATATTAAAAGTCAAATTCTTGTTTAAATCTAATAAAGAAATATCATTTCTAATATTTTCTAACCAAGTCTTTTTAGGTATACCTCTACCTTTCTTAACATAAGTCAAATCTAATACCTCTACTTACCTAACTGGTTCGTTCATTGGAAGGCCGCCGTTTTATGTGTCCAAACGATCTAAGACGATTCTCTCTAATCTTAAGTCCCAGTACGTGAGTTCAAACTCACAATCGATCAAGTAAAACTTTTCATATTTAATTTAAGAAAGGATATTAGTTACATTGAGAAAATGTAACAGAAAGTGCAAGCATAAAACAAATTTACCTTTGGTTTATAATTTTCATCTAAGAGAATGTTGGTGGACTTGATGTCACGATGCAATATCCTTGGGGCAGCTGCTTCATGTAAATATTCCAAGCCCCTTGCGGCTCCTAAAGCAACATGAACGCGAGTAGCCCAACTGATGGGTTCTTTACCATGTTTTGCATCCAAACAATCTCGTAAATTACCATTTGACATGTACTCAAATACAAGTAGCCTCTCATAGCTTCTGCTTTGATATTCACAGCAGTATCCGAGTAAGGGTACAACATGACAGTGGTTGAGCCTTGATATTATTTCAATCTGTGCACAATTCAAGTAGGGCAATATTGATTATTATTGTGCTTTTTTTCATCAGGGACTTTCGAAGACAATCAAATCATTCATAGCACTCATAGGCTTAACCGAGGAGATTATGGCTTTGTTTTGGGCAGCTTTCTTGATGCTTCTTAAAACAACTTTTTAGTACAAAAATTAAAATATGAAAAGTTTTGTACTAGAAAGCTATTTTAAGAAGCAGTAAGAAAGTCGTCCCAAACAAGGCCTATGTCAAGCAAATGAACGTCTTTGAAACTTAGGTACGGAAGCATGCATTAAAGCAATGGAAAAATAAAGACATCATCGAGCTTTTTTTTTTTAATGGGGAGGGGGCGAGATGGGAACTACTTTACAGTGAGAAATATCAAATAGAAGGGGTAATTAATATATATTTATTACAAACAAAGATATATTGAAAATTTAGGGGGGCACGTGTCCCCATATGCCCACCCCCCAAAATCCGTTCTTGCATATTAGTTTATATAAGAAACTAAAGGTATGAAATGCAATAACATAGGATTTAAATCAGGAAACCATGTAATTTGAATATGCTTCAATTTACATGAAACACATTTTGATATCAAAAGCTTAGAAACTTGCTAGAGTTTGGATGATCTCAAAAATTTTGTCAGATATAATTGTAGGAAAAATATCCATTGAAAGAAAATCATATTTTTACCTCAGTTAGAAAACCAGAATCTTCTTCTGTCTCACTAAGCGCTTTTAGTTTCTTAATGGCAACAATCCTTCCATCCAACAGTTTACCACGAAAAACATTGCTGCTCGCGCCTTGTCCAATCAGATTTGCATCGGAGAATCTATCAGTTGCCTGTTCCAGTTCAAAATATGAGAACTGGATTGTTGTTCCAGGTAAGGTGTGCTTTTCCCCTTTAAATATGACAGAAATCCTTCGTAGAAATTCTGTGGTATAAAAGTTACGTATTAGGGAGGGAAGTCACCTATTCATACTAGGAGATCGCTTGGAAGAGGACATTCAAATACAATAGCAATGGCTGATCAGGTATATGCAGACATTTTATTTTGGGTTATAGAAATGATCTTTCTTTATTAGATTTAAATGAGAATTTGACTCTTGACAGAACATAATGAAGAAAAAGAATTCATGTAGCCGACCCCACGTAGTGGGATAAAGATTTGTGATGTTGTTGTTGTTGTAAGGATTGTTTTCTTGAAAGAAAATTCAACAATGCAACACTATAAAAAAAGATAGCCAATTTATATATATGCCACAAAATTCTTATATATTTATATATCTAATATCTAACTTGATATTTACTTATATATCATTCTGGAGTCAATATCACATGAAAATATATGCATTAAAAAGTGTGTTTTACTTAAAAGGCACTAGAATTTGTCAATACATGATAATCTGCTCGAATACCAGATAATAATTAATAAATGTTACTAGAAAGAAAATATATTGAAGCCCTACAAAGATAACTGCTAAAACTAGCAAACTTGAAAAGAAAACCTTTATCGTAGAAGCAATATAAATAGTTAAAATCCAATTGTTGTAAAATTGTGATCACCTCTAATAAAGCTAAGGGCAAAGTCCAATTATTAATATGGCAATAGTACAAAATATAAAAAACAGGCCTCTAACAACCTTAATAAGAAAAGAAGGATGCCAAAAAATACAGAGCATCAACCATTATTGTCAGAAAAAAAATGCTGAAAATAATTGATCACCATAAGAGGCATAGCATTATATACATTTGAAGTTAAAATTAAGAAAAAGCTCAAAATAGTCCCCCGATTATTTATATATGATCAGATTATTCATATATGGTCAGTTTTGTCCCCGAGTACTATATTTCTCCAATTTAGTTTATAGCCCCCAAGATCAAAATTTACGAAAAAGGTGATATAAAATTGATCCCAATTTAGACTTAGAGGGATTACTTGGGAACAATTTTGTATAGTTGCGGGCTAAATTGGAGAAATATAATATTGTGACTAAATTGATCAAAACATAATTGAAAGGACTATTTTAAGCTTTTCCCTTCGAAATAAAACTCAATGCTTCAACTATTTTGAAGGCCTATGAAAGTTTAGGAAGCTAGAAAGAGTCCTCAAGTTACCTATGAAAGGGCCGAGCAGGGTATCAGTCTTATGCTGGCTTCGCAATAATGTAGCAGATCGATAGCTTATTAAGTTTGCCGAACTGTTGAAGCTTGTGTCTCTTGTAGAAGAATATATCTGTCGTTGGAGAAAGAGCTTGTCCTTTTGGCAAAAATGAAATGCAATAGAAGCAAGAAAAGCTATTGATATGATCGCAACACAGACTATAAGAACGACCATAACAACCATCCAGGTGATGTGCTTCTGTGCCGTTGAATTTTCTGCTGAGCCTGTGACAGCCATAAAGTAAGAAGTTGAGTGCCATGAAACATGCTTCATCATCTAAACATGCCATGAAACCTCGTGTCTGCAAACATGCATGCATGACTGACATGACTCACTCGTATATATATGCACGTAAGATATTTGTTACTATAGCAGCGCACGCACACAAAGAGCGGTGAGAGGAAGTTGGCCAGAAAGAGTGAGCGAGCAGGAAAAGGGAGAGAAGGGTATATAGATAATAAGAGTCAAAGTTAGAGATGCACATAGACTTTCATATGCATACATGCATGTGTGCACATAGGCACACATTCACCAAGCAACCAACCCTACATCCATATAGCATTCAAGGTGAACGTACATGGAGAAACAATTAAAATGTTCTTATACCAGTCAACAACACTCTATTATTGGGAAAACCAATACGACGAACATATAAGGTGGTCTAGCAGCAACTATACACTTCAAGGGTTTTTTTGACGAGAAATTATAAGGTTCGGACGACACCGGACAAAGAGAATAATTCGGATTTCTTCATGTATACAGTCAAAGCACAGTTACTGCAGCAGCTGCACTTTGACTGTGCTTTTATTATAGACAAAGAGAAATCCTGATGATTCTCTCTGTCCGGTGTGTGAATCTAATAATTTGACCTTTTTGATATCTTGACCATGATAAGTATTTAAAATAAACTGGCATAATGGTTAATAGCCAAATGCCAAAGTCATCTCACTAGAATCATTGAAATTTTCAATTAGTCTATTACGGAAATTTTATGATATGATATCAATGCTGATTTCAGAGCTACCATGTTGAATATTCACATTGAAATAGGCTGAATATTAGATCATATTTGGCAGCCTCAGGTGCAGTAAATCAAGAGACTTATCTTGCATTTTTTAACTTAATGCATGCCTACGTAATTTTTGAAAGGTACAAGTGAATCGCAAACATGTATGTATAAATGAGGAAAGGGAATGGCCAAATGTCCTTGAACCTGGAACTTCCCTATGAAACTCACCATCAAGCTCAATATCTTCTCTTCCTAAATGTCACGGTATTACCGCACACCACTAATCCACTGAAACTGACAGCTTAAATTTAGGGTTTGTTTGGGACGACTTTTTTACTGCTTCTTAAAGCAGCTTTTTAGTTTTTTAGAACAAAAATTTTATTTTTTGTACTATTTTGTACTAAAGCTGTTTTAAGAAGCAGTAAAAAAGTCTATCCCAACAAAGCCTTAGTACAATAAAAAAAAAAGTATGTGACAAGTCCATGCTTTCAACCCTCAAAGGCACGTGCATGTGCAGGCATGGTTGAATAAAATTTCTGGAGCCATAACCTTACAGCCTAAGCTTTCACACAGTTAGACATTAAATTGTTAGATCTATCTCCTAAAACCAACATGTGGTTTGGTTAAAATTATTTGATGTATTTTGTCTAAAGTTTAAGGTCACTTATACCAAAAGTACAGTTGCAGGATGTGAAGCAGCTGGATCTGTGGATGCTTTCAGTGGCTTGAGTTGCAAAAGTTGCACAAGAACAATTCCAGCTTACACCATCTGGCTCTCCTACTTCATCTGCCATGAATATCATTTGGATGTCCGTGAGATGCTAACATATTACAAATCATATATTGATATGACAAGCTAAATACCTGCACATGATCTAACAAATCTATACTTAAATAGTTTTATAACCAAATGATGACAACATCGTATAATGCAGTAAGTTGAATATTTCAAGGAATTTCTCAACAATCTAAAAAAAAAGTAATTCTTATCTCAGATCTATCAAGTTGCAACCTGATGTTTCTACACTTACTGGTAACTTCAATGTACTAAATTTACTACATTTTGAGAAACCGAAAATAAATAGACAAATAAAACAGCAACTGAAATCTATGAAGGTCATGACATAACGTCTCTAATCTTTTGAGTAACTTTAATGTACTATTCTTTCAGAAATACATGCTAGTTCTTGACCATGCAAAGGGTTTAAGAGGGATGGTTAAATCATGAGGCTAAGAAATTCCTTTACACCCTATGTCGATCTTGAAGTGTACAAATACCTTAGTAACCATGGACTAAATACTATTCCAAATCTGTCCAAAAAAACTATGTAAACTTACTAGGGAGGGAAGCATTGGAGATCTCAGTAACTAATATGCAGGGCAGGCATGGATTAGGCCTATTATCTTAGTGTTTTAGACATATTATTGAAAGTATTTTAGATATATTATTATAGTAGTTCTTTTCTTAGGCTTCATTTGGGACAGCTTTCTTAATGCTTCTTAAAAAGGCTTTTTAGTACAAAAATTAAAATTTTTGTACTAAAACCACTTTAAGAAGCAGTAAGAAAGCCGTACTAAATGAAACTTTAGTTTATCATTAGTCTATATTTGTTATTATTTTTAATTGTCATGGCCAATATTGTCAATTGTTACTTCAGGATAAGTTTGATTATTTATTCTCATCCGGTAGCATCTTCTATTATGAATAAAGATCCAAGAGTCATGTGATGAGTAGATTATGATAATTAAATGATAATGATGCTTTGTATAGATTCTTCCTCCGTATGGGTTATGTGCGAGAATTTTCCTACTGGTCTGGCATAGATTTCTTCTCCCCTCTTCTTCCATCTTCTCCAACTATTCAAAGCTTCAATAAATCTTCCACATTGAATATGCATCCATTGGCATCGAAACCCAATTTGTCCTAAGAATCATCATTGATAATTAAATAAGATGATGGTAATAATTGTGATGAAGATCAATTTCAAGGTGTCCATGAAGATTCAATAGTACAAATTTCTGATTTTTTGTTCTTGAGCCATCAGCCAACCATGATGGATGCATTCTTTTCTCAACGCTATACGGCTCATAATTACCTTAGCTTTTACCTAAGGTATTAACCACATGAGCCTAAGTGATGTATGCGAAGCTTATTAGTGATTTAATGATAGCAAACTTTATAAAATTTCATTGATTTGCAAAATATTTCACATGTAATTCAACAAAGTAGCAACCATGTAGTGATCTTTTCCAGTAGACTAACTAGGAACTTTGGTCACTTATAGATGAGTCAAGTTTATAATAACTTTGGTCACTTATAGATGAGTCAAGTTTATAATAACTTTGGTCACTTATAGTGAAGAAATTGTTCTTTTCCGGAAGAGAAGCATTAACACTCATGTTATAAGGCAAACGTGTTGATAACCCATAAAAGAATGAATGGTCAAGAAAAATTGTAGAATTAATCACTGTGAATGCTCGAGTTCTACCATACACATAAATTATTCTCCATTTTCAAGGTATTGACTTTCTCAATAGGAAAATTTTAATCTAAGCAATATATTATACCTGGTATGCAATGACAAGATGTAGAACAATTATAAGCGCTAGAGGAATTGAATACTGCCAGAGGATTAGCGGCACAATTGCATGCCCATTTCACCTCATCTGGCCCATTTTGGGTCCCTTCTGGCAAGAATGAAGTAAATCAATCAGATACAAAAAATATAGGTGATCCAAATTGAAGGAACTACATGCGTATCTGAGACAATTTTCATATAGAAAGAATTAAAATCATAGGGTTTTAGCAATTATTCATTGCACTTGTTGTTCTAAAACTCAAATCTTTAAACTAACCACAGCTAATGAAATTCAAGCATAGTAGACCGCAAAAGCAAATGGAAACAACTTTCGTGTGCTTTCCCATCTACTATGGTTGGCGATTCCAGGTACAGCATAAATGAAAACTCCCTCGATGGCCTGCATCCATGGAAAGAGTGATATAAAAGGAATACATTTTATACAATATAATTAAGAAAAACAAAATTATTAATTAAATTTATACTGATTATGGAATATGTTCAAATAAAGAATCAAAGGAAGTAGAGGAGGCATGTAACAATGATTTAAATTAAAAAGTAAACCAACCAAAATCCTCTACACTGGAAAATGCATACCCCTTGTTCAATTAAAAAAAAGTCATATTTTATTTTCTCCTAAATGGTTCCCTCCAAATCCTAAATGCCTTGGATGTCAAGTACATGAGAACTTGCACTTTCTCAGAGAGAGAGAGAGAGAGAGAGAGATTGTTAAACTGTGAAGTTACGTAAACACGTCTAGGGAAAGGATTAAAAGAGGAAAAGGATTCAAGAGGACAAGATTTGTTGTGCCACAAAAGATAAGTTGCATCTAACCCCAAATTAAAGAGCGCATCAAAAAAAAAAAAAAGAACATTCGTTAAACGTAAAGAAGTCTCTAAACAGCCAATGCCAACTTTAAAATGGTAAGGAAATGCCAAATAAACCATTTTTAGCACTAATTACTTTCCAGTAATTATGACTTACACAGAAGTTCAACTTTAATGATTTGTTTGACAAAAAGATGCTATGAGCACCTGTCAATGGGCGACAGACTTCACATTTCATGTGCAAATCTACAAAAAAATCAGTTCTTATACATGAAATTGGGCAAAACTTTGTGAATCAGCAAGCCTAAAAGAAAGAAGTACAAATAGAAAGGCAGAGATTTCAGCATTTGCTATAACGAACAAGGATATGGCTATAAACCTAAAAAAAAGGTTCCCAACAAATCCAAACCACCATATCTTTTCTCTCGAAAAAAAAAAAACCCATCTTGCAAACAAATTTTTTGTCAAACATACCCTTTGGAATACGCTCATGAGGTTATTTGAGAATATAATGCATCCATTCTGAGCTGCTTGAACTTGTGCCAAACAACTCAAACAAACGAAACCGATCTTAGCCGCAGTACATCCATCCAAGATCTGCTATCTTCCCATCAAAGCAAGAAGATTACTTGCTCAGTAACCTATCAGCATAAACACATTGCGCTCACTATCTCGATGCTCAGCTTCCCAACCAAATCCACAGCAAAAACCCTAAAGGATCTCCGGTTTAAACCACGAAACAAGGGCATTGACCGGAAGGAAGCAATCAGGGCAGATTTTGAAGCCAGTGATCATGAGGATGATTTGTATTTTTTAAGAAATAAGAAAATCCACACGCCAATTAGTCGTGACAAAGCAATTTCACCGCAGACCTGAAGAAGACTTTCCACCCATAAATAATCCAACAGGACTAATAAACAGCAACAGCCAGAACAAGAAGGAAATGCAATCCAACTCCTTTTTTGAGATTTGTAGATGCAGCTTTCCTTCTTCCGACGTGTAATTTCTACTTCATGAGCTCTTTTTTGCTCCTTCAACAGCGACAGATGGGAAAGAGACCAAATTCAAATTTTAACAATGGTTAATTTTATAAGGTAGAGAGATGACTGAGTGAAGCAACTTATGCCAAAGTAAAAAACAAAAATAAAAATCGCGTGTATTTATCAGTGCATGATAGCCACCTGGTGTTGACGGCAATTCTTTACTTAGAAGTGATGACGAACAGACTTTCGTTTTAACCGTTGGGAAAAACATGAATTTGAATCTCTTATTATTTTCAAAAAATAATTTTTTATTTAACTCCTTAAAATATAAAAAATTGAACTTGAAGGAAAATAGTGGTGTGTAATTTCATAATCACTTTTCAGACCTTTTTATTTGGGCTTGAATATTGCAAATAGTGGTGTGTAATTTCACTTGCACTTTCACAGAAATATTAGATCAAACTTGATTACAGAGCATATGCTTCCCCTTATGATTTCACAAAGTAATATATAGAGTATGCTTTCTCAGAATGATTAGAATGTACTTGTTAATAGCATAATCGTTATATTTATACTTATTAAAATTAATAGAATATGCAACACATAAATTTGGATATGCATATTCCGATGTCTGCTTATAAGTCCACTTTTATTTATGTCTCTCAAGATCAACCCCTATTAGGCGAAGGAGACTAATCCAACTCCTCTTATAACCCTCATTATTTGGAGAATTTATTAGGTGCGGAGTCCGGATGTAGAGATGTCCAGACATCCATTTAAAATTTGACACAATGAGGACACTTTGGTTGCGTCTTTTTTTGTGTTTGACTTGCATTTTAGTGTGCTTTGACTGCTCTTTTATTGAGCTTGTTATTGCGCTTTGACTGTGTTTTACCTACGCTTTTGATGTACTTGGCTTAAAATTTCGCAGACACATTAATATATAAAGTAAAAAATAAATCCAATTGAATATCTACGTGTCAACATTTTATTGGAGTCCGCACGTATCTCTACGTACGGACTCCGCACCTAATAATTTCTCGATTATTTGAGAGATGCTCTTTGCGATTTGAGTTCTATATTCTTTATTTTAATTGACCATATGAGCGGTAATTTTTGTTCTTTATCACTTCTAAACTATAATTTATAATCAATAAAATTCGGGCTTTTTCACTCAATATTCGGAAAAAAAAAATCTTAATTAGAAGTTTATGCTCTAAAAAAAAAAAAAAAAAACCAAACCGCCAAAGGCTAAAAGAGAACAGCTCAAACGTCCATCTAAGAAATTAAAATAGAACAAAAATGTACAGCAATTTTTTCCGAAACAACAAAATGAATGGTCCCCACTCAGAAAAGGACCACCGACCGAACCACTATTTTAAACTTCTAACAGGCTATTGGCCTGCAACGTTCCACCTATGAGTTTAAGAAAAAATAACGTGGGGCCAGGGAACGTTAATGTAGGAGCTTTTATTTGATCCGGTGAACTTACGTAGTGCTACGTCGGGTCGGCATTAAGATTGCATGCACAAAATAAGAAATACCAAGCAATATCAATAATAACGAGAAATATCATTAGGTGAAGATGAAATACCGAGTTATACCGAGCAATTCCGAGTTATACCAAAAATACCGAGAAAACTCGGTATTTTTTTATATAATTAGGTATTGCTCGATATAACTAGGTATTGGTCTTCCCAGAGCGGTATTCCTCCATATTATCAAACAATACCTATCAACACCGATCAAATACCTAGCAAAAATTGTGTAACAAGCCTCTGACCGGACGTAGATCAGAGGACGTAATAATTGTTCTTAATGTACGGGTTGGGTTCTTGGGAATTAAAAGAACCAGGTTTATTGGGATAGATAAAAATAAAATATAAATATTTTACTAAAAAAAATAAAAAATATGATGTTTTTTGAGCCGTTATGCAAATAAAATATAATTTTATGAAAATTATGAGTCTCGATTGTGGGAATTGTAATTTAGATTTAAAATAATAATAAAATTTATAAGTGCTCTGAAGCTAGTTCAAAGAAATGGCAGAGCAGTTGAGAAAGAGTTGGTATAGGTATAAGTTAGAGCTTAGCAGGTTAGAGTTGGTACAAACTACAGAAATTGTCTTATTCAGAGCCTATAGTAGGCTGAAGTTATGCCTTCCCTTCATTCTTTTCAAGGAAGAAGCTGTGAAATTCAAGGCTCTTGGAGAAAAAAAATTAAGTCACCTCAAAATTATTGAATTAAATTGAATTTTTTTTCTGTTAAAATTTATATTATATTCATATTTAATTAAATTCAAAATATTTTTTTAGATGATCTGGAGTAATCCTTAGCCTTGATAATATGATTTTTTTTAATGTTTGAGAGCCCATAGATGTCATAATTAAGTGGTTTTAAGCTTATTGGATGTGTCTCATTTAGATGTTCGATTTGACCACAAGAATGGAAGTTTTGCAGATCATTTGATCATCTAATTAATTTTTTGAAGGCTTAAATCATGTTTAAGTACAAATTAGAGTTTGGATGATCCTATATTTAATTTCAAAAATTTTCAAGTTAAATGTGCATTAAGATTCATGCTTTATTGGGTGAATATTTTGATCACGTAATACATATATCTTTTGAAACTCATTTTTATAAAAATTAAGCAGTATATATATGCATGAATCATGCTACTCATCTTTACATAATGGTTTTGTGCTTTAACTCCAACAATAAGGTCTAGCGGTCGAGACTTAACATTTATTAGTGCATTCTAGTTTGTGATTAAGATTTTGTTTAAGATAATTTTCTTATTGTTTTTTAAGATTTCTTTTGGGACGACTTTTTTACTGCTTCTTAAAGCGATTTTTTAGTATAAAAATTTCTTAAAGTGGATTTCTAGTATAAAATTCTTAATTTTTCTACTATAAAGTCATTTTAAAAAGCAATAAAAAAGCTGTCCCAAATGATCTAAAATAGCTTTCAAGTGCAAATATTTCTACCTCAAGATATTTTTATGATTAAAAGTTGTTCTAGAAATAGTAAGTAAATAATCCAAATGAAGCCTAAATTCACTTGAAATACAAAAAAAGAAATTTCGAGGTTTTTTTTTTTTCTTCTCATTTGGAGTTCTTTTGAGTACGGTTGATGGAGTCTTGCCAACATGGACCACTATAGATTTTCGCTTTGAGAGTTGAGGGAGTTAGAGCACTGATAGAGATATGCCACCAATTTTATTGTTTGAGTTCAATCGAGACAAATATAAGCAAAGCCATTCTATAGGATGTTGATGTTAGGACTCTTACATAGGAATTAGGAAGGGTGGAAGTAGGGCTGTCAATATTTGACATGACACGAAAATCCGACCCGGATCCGATTCGAAAATTTCGGGTTCGGGTCAACCCGAACCCGAATCGGGTCGGGTTCGAGTTTTCGACCCGTTTGAAAAACCGGGTCGGGTTGACCCGGAAACTCGAAAATGACCCGAAATGACCCGCTGCCCGCCCTGACCGGGGCTGACCGAAGCTGCCCGCGCGGAGTCTGAGTCTGACCCGCGTCGCTTCGCGAGTCGCATCGCGTCAGGCGTCAGCCGCTGTCGCGCGGAG